AGTTTTCTTTCTATGAGAACTTATTTAGGTAACACTCAAACTTTAGCTATAACTGATACTATACACAGCAATAAACTTCCACTGCAAATAGAGTCAGTGTTTTCTGGAGGAAAGTGTTACCCAGAATGCTGGAAATACCAGGGGACTATACTTATATGAACCTTTGGCCCTTTACACCTGCAGGTATGTGCTCTTAGGCAGGGCCCATAGCATCTGAGGTGTGGATCTCCAATGTTGGGGGGACCTATATGTGCCGGGGCTACTCTAAGCTCTGATTTAAAGAGAGAACATCCACCTGAAGTGTAGCCAATTAAAAAAAAAATGTTAAAAGTGTTACTCCCCCTGCCAAATTCTGTGGTCTTCCAACCACATCCTACTTTCTTCTAAAAATGGTTTCTCTTCCTTATGCGGGCAAAAAAACATAAATAAGGGAAACTAATGAAACTGATTCTCCAGTTTGTGTACCTTCTATATACAGAGAAATATATCTTACTCTAAATTATTTCAGCTACAGTAATCAGAAGTGTTATATGTAACAGTAGGCAAAGAGCCAGAAGAGCTATTTCAGTTGATCTCCCCCTTAAAAAACAAAACAAAACAACAGTACTAGTTTCCTCACTTCAGAGAACCTTCCTAATATAGTTTGACAGGGGTGTAAAGTCTGTTACTAACTTTTTACTATATTTATTTACATGTCCTAAAGCCACCCAGGGCTAGTTTTTGGGCTTGTGAAACCTGTTGCCCCAGCTGTGGGAGAGAGCAACTATGACTGACTTGATTCTGTGTGAGAAATAGCTGAACTTCTGCTGATGGTGCGAGGCCACTGCAAGCTCCTTCCTAGCCCGTAACGGGGCTGCTTACAACTTATCTTAGTTCCTTCTCTGAGCTGATAATACAGCATCTGGACACAAACTTGGGGGTGGGGAGGAAGAGAGTGATCAGTGGAAAAGCCTTCACAGCAGACAGAGAGAAGGGAAACCCAGACTTCTTCACAGGAGTAGCAGCATCTATCAGAGCCCAGGGGAGGAGGGGAACTAGAAAGGTGATTCTCAGTGAGGAGAGACACCATATTGACCCTTGGAAAGGAGATAGAATGAGATACAGTAGGAAAAAAGGAAGTAGAAGAAAAGGAGTAAAGAGGAAGCTACAGCACACCGTGGGGAAGAGAGAATTGGGGGTGGGGAGAAAGCAAACATAGGAGATGGTGGAAGAGAGTCTGTTCTTTCAAAGAAATAAAAGGCAAACTTAAGAAGTGTTGTGGAGATAGAATGAGCTGGAAGGAAAAATAAATGGGATAAAAATCCAAGGAAGGAGGACAAAAGTAAGACTCCTCCACCCCCGGACACACGCCCAGAACTCTTAGTTAGAACAGTGACTTGTACTAATTTGTGCTTTTTTAAATTGTCTCTCTGGCCCACACTCTCCTAAATTGAGGATGGGGGGGATGAAAGATGAGAGGCTGTTTTCATCACTTGTACCAATGTTCCAGGTTCCTCTAGCTAAGCAGAGAAAGGCAACAAAAGCTCTAATCCAGCACACTGCACTTGTTACACACATAGACCCAGTGGGTTTAGGCCAGGCCAATTAGACTGCTCCATCTACAAGAAGCAAGGAGAAACAATGTAGAAGGCCGATAAAGAATCAAAGCCTGTGGTAAGAGGGGACTCAACCCAGGATGTGCTGAGCATCTGCTACAAACCCTCAGCTCTCTTTGGTTTATGTGGGTGTTAAAGAGCACTCAGCACCTCACAGATGAGCTAATTGAATTTTTGAGACTGTTAGTAATTATTCTGCATGGACCCCATGACAAGCAGCTGATCTCCATTTATCCTGCAGCAGAGGAAGCTGATGACAGCAGGAAAACTCTTTGCCCGTGCTCTTCAAAATTTAAGTTTCCTGAAGTTGACAAACAGGCTTCCCAAACTCTAAAAGCTGGCCCATCTCCTGGGTTGGCTTAGCAATGACAAAGTAGTCTACTGCAAAGACTTTTTACTCCTGCCACATATCTATATGGCATTGTAGTTGTCTGCAGTCAAACTTTTGAAAGTGGGCAAACATATTAGGTGTCTCAACGTTTAAATGTTCAGGCTGAGAAGCTTGTGGACTAATTTTCAATTGGTCAGCACTGCTCAAAATCAGGCCCAACCTGTCTCAAGCTGGACACCCACAAATCTTTAAATTATTGACTGGAGCGGGACAGAAATTTTTTGTCAACACTTTTTTTCAATAGAAAATGCTAGTTTAATCAAAATCTAAATATTTTTAAAAGGACAGAGTGACCGAAAATTCGAACTGGAAAAAAATTACTGGGATTTTGGAATTTCATTTTGGATTTCAAAATTTCTTTGGAATTTTTCTCACATTTATATTTTTACATTATTTCATGACGTGAGTTGTAGTAGTGTATAATATGCACTAGTACAACTGGCATGTCAGAATGACATGATAGTTAAAATCCTATTATTTTTATGTTACTTTTAAACTCATTAAGGGCAGCTGCTAGTTAAACTGTTTCATTACAACACAAACAGGAGACATTTCGATCTACAGAAGATAAGATGTTTCAATTGGTACAAAGTCGCAGCTGCCCTTAATGAATTTTACAATAGAACATTATTGCATAATATGGCACGTCAGTGGTACTACTAACAACCCTACATAGTTGTAACATATACTGTTAACCCGAACCTCGCACTACTAACATGTCATGAAATAATGTAAAAATAAAAATGTAAGAGAATAAAACTAATGAAATAAAATCTGAAATTAAATATTGAAACTCTGAAACACCATTCTAAAATCCTGAACAAATTTTCCAAGACTGATTTTTTTGTTCAGGAAATTCCAATTTAAAGGAATTTTGATAATAGTTATTTCTGTTCTGAATTGTAATTAATTTTGTTGTTCAAAATGTTGAAATTTGCCCCAAACCAAAAATTCAGCATTTCGGCCAGGCCTACGATTGACCCTCGCTTGTCAGCTCTTTGGTTCCAGATCTGACCTTGTTCTTTGTTTGTGAAGCACTGAGGGTCAGATTTACAAAGGGGTCTCTTAGGTGCCTGCTGCCCAGTAGAATTCACAGCCCTGAGTTAGGTGCCCAGGCTCTCCATGGAGAGAATTAGGTGCCTAAGAAAGGGAATCAGAAGCCAGAAAGCTGAGCATGGAGCTGCCTAAGCTAGCCAGTAAACAATGCCACAGAGAACGGCCAGGATAAAGATAGTTGGGTGCCTAATTCTGGGCCAGAGGAAGGTGTCTCCCTCTACTTGGGAGTCAGTCAGACCCCCGCCCCTTTCCCATGCCATTATAGCCCTGTGGCTAGGGCAATTACCTGGCACATAGACATCCTGTTTTCAAATCTCTGCTCTTTCTGATTTGGAGCAAGAACTTGAACTTAGGTCTGCTTGTCCCGGGAGAGTGCCAGAGCTACAGGTTATTCTAGGATGGGTCTCAATCTCTCCTGTTGAAACTGTTCCATTTAGTATGAATGATTAAATATTCAAGATTGACTGTATATCCCAGTGGTTAGGGCATTCACCAGTGATGTGGGAGAATCAGGTTTGAGTCCCTGCTCCAAATCAGGGATTCAAATTTGGGTATCTCCCATATCTCAGGTGCATATACTAGGCACTTACACTCATGCCAGCCAGCCTCCCAGAGTCCTCATCTGCTCATCCCTGATATCTTTTGTGTTAGGTAGGCATGCCAGCAAGATAGGCAAGAAAATGCCTGGTTTGAGAACCCCAGCAGGGCTTAGATGTGAGCTCAGGTATCAAACAGCTTGGTGGCATCAGGATTCAGGCAGCTTTGCATATGCCCACTGGCAGAAACATAGATGTCTATGGAGTTTAGGCACCTACTGGGGGAGGTGATAGTTGAGCAGTGGTTTTGTGAATGTCATTGGTGCCTAAATGTTGGACTTAGGTGCCAAAAGAGGCAGTTAAATAGGTTCCTTTGTGGATCTAACCCTGAGTACCTTTTTGGGTGCCATATAAATACTAAATATTGCCTTGCTTTTTGCAAGTGCGGTGTCCTTTTCTCCTGAAATATCAATGTGCTGACAACTCACTGAGGTGCTACTAGACTTGATTATTAAGTACAGAAATGACAACCACAAATTATGACTTTGCAAAAATATGATTGCTCCCTCATCTAAGGTTAAAGCACATGTTTACAAACTGGAATCTGAAGCACTGTTTGCAGATTGCAATCAGAGAAACATTTTGATTGAGTATTTATTACACACAGCAAGTACCAAAACAATATCATGACTTTCATTTCCTGTAGAGCAGATGTTTCCTAGCAATTTTAGACTAAACCTGAAGGAAGTATTGTGAACTCTTGAAGCTGGTGTTATACTTACTGCAGCTGAGCATATTGCCAGGAAAACTGCTGAAGATATTTATGATCATTGGTGAAAGAGAATTTGCATTTGTAACGTTTATTGTGCGCTGTAGGGTCAAGTGACTTAAAAGTAGTAATCACAATTTACAAAAGGGACTGGAAATATTGGGTTCCTTGATTTTTGGGTGCCCATGTGATGCCTTAAAAGGACCTGCCTTTTAGGGTGATCCATTTTAGGTTCCTCAAATTGGGCACCCCAAAACAGAGATACCTAAAATCACTTCTTAAATTTTAGGCCATTCAGTGTTTAACTAGCTCTGAGCCCCATCTCTGAGGCATGAATGTCCTTCATTCCCCACTTAAATCAATGGGAGCAGAAGGCTTGTAGCATTTGACAGGAACCACTCAATACCTCATTGGGGGGAGGATTGGGGGCCTCCTTTGCTGAACGAGTTTGATCTCCTGCTCATGCTTCCATATAAAGCTGTTTCTTGCAGATGCTCTAATAAAATCCACTTACACTCACCCACCCAGAGGATTAGTTCAGTAGGTGTGGTACTGTTTGTTTGTGCATATGCGCTGCACTGAGATTTGAGATGATTGAAGATAGGCTGAGAGCAGCATGTGGCACATTCTGAAGCCATGTAGCACGCACTGACCTGGGCTGAGTGGGTAGATCTCATTATCAGCCCCGAAGAACAGATTCCGTGTCAGCTTGCGAGGGTCAATTTTCTGAGGGGTGGAAGAAGCAGGACAGAGAGAGAACCTGCGACGAAGAAAATTCTCCTCCTTCATGGCATGAGCAGTAGGGGTTTTCTAAAAGGAAGGGACAGAAATAACAACAGTTAATACCAAGACACAAGAAACCAAAGTTTCACATGCAGATGACTCTGCTTCTTCAGAGCTACCTAAACAGAGTGTCGATTCCATTTTTAGAATGCCAGAGAGCTCTTCAAACAAACTGCTATATTAGTAGGAACAGCCAAACTCCTGTTCTTCTGACTCTTGGCCATTCATGAACTGTGGGGAAGTGGAGTGACACTGCTACAAACTCCCGTTCATGGATCCAGCCAGTGTAACATCCATTCCTTTATGAGGCTCTGAAGATACTTCCTAGGTAATGGTTACTTTCTGGACCTAGCAAGAGCAGAACACCGAATTGCTTTGCTACCTTTTTTAAAAAGAAGGTTCTGGCTTTAGGTTGCAGTCACTGAGATCAGAGTCTAGTCTAAGGTTTATAGAGGAAGATCAGCTGCCAGGATCCTGATATGAGTAACTTGAGCTGCACAGGGAACTAGCACCAAAAAGCCAGTGTCCCTCCTGCCCGATTTCTTCAAATAGCACATTTGAGCAGCATCACATTTTCTTTCAAATGGCCATTAGATCAGCTTCAAAGTTTGATCAATAGGGCTAAGCTTTTCCTCTCTGTTGGGCTACGGAACAGCATTTATCTTCCTGAAAGCCTCCCTACATCTCAGTACAAAAGCTGGGTAGTGCTGTGCTATTTACCACTGCACAGCTCAAGCACAGATTATCCTGACTGGAATTAAAGGTTTCTTTTATACCTTTCTGACAAGCAGTTCTTTTTTACCCATCACAATTGAGTATTATGATTATCTTCCTGATTTCTAGGCTTTATTCTCCCTCTGATGTACAATTGGAGGCAGAGTTCTCATGAGCAGTGGTGGGAGTTAACTTTGCCTTCAGGCTTTGCAGAAGGGAATACATGGTATGTTTTCTCTCACAGGATGAATTATTGCACAAGAAAGAGAGCTTGGGGGAGACCCACTGGAATTTCAGGGCACTGTTTCCTGAAAAATGGCCTGTAAGTTTGCCCATGTCTTCGTGCTATGAAGAAATAACGGGCCAGCTCCTTGGTGCAGCTGAGGATAACACAGCGGAAACAGCTCCCAGCATGATTTAAAGCAGCCTAGGGGCTCTTTAAATTACACTGGCTGAAGTGATACCACATGGACCACTGTACTGGCTGAGGGTCATGGGGGGTGCTGTGCATTCCACACTGCTCCTGGGAAAACCGCCTCCCCGCATCTGAAACCCTCCCCACTCCGTCTCTGATAGGAGAAGCCTCAACTGCCCCTTCAGGGGAGCTTTTCACTACTGAGGCAGTACAAAGCAGGCAGGGTGGGGGGCAAGAATCTAGCAGAATGTGAGAAAACATCCTCTTGTATTTTGCTAAGGCTGTGTCTCTGGCACCTGCTATGTTGATCCATATAGGAAGCAATTACAATAATAATGGTTTTTGAGTTAAATAGCACTTACACTGCCCAAAGGTAAGTGTGAGCCAGGAATCTATTAGTGCCAGCTGGTAAGGGGCACCAGAGGGGGTGCATGAGGGTTACTGGGATCTTCTGGGTCTGGCATGTACAACCTAGTTCACCAAAGAGTGTCATGTGAGGTCTCAAATAAAAGCCAGTGTGACATGGGTTATAACTGTCATTGTAATTGCAAAATGCATGTACGGAAGTTATGTAAGGAGTTATGTATATACACTGAAAATTATGTTCTTATGGCCTGTGTCTAGGGACTGGTCACCAGACAAGAAATGTTAATCTATCCAGCTGTTTACATGTCAATTAGGTATTGTACGGTTCACAATGGGTCTCCTCTCACCAGTCTGAACCGAATACCAATGAAGGATTGCAAAAACTTCAAAGAGAAAAAGGTCGTAGGAAGAAGTAAACAGTGGAGGGGTGGGGGAGGGGGAAGGTGTGCACATCAGAGATCTGCTCGCGTATATTTGGTAGACATAGAAGACATTCTGGCATCCTTCAGCTAGGAAGTAAACAGAGTGAGTTTGCTTCATGAAAAAGGGGGTCTCATCCAGGCTTCGTTGAAAATGCTGGTGAGAACTTTGGGTGAGATAAGCTTCTTTAGACAGCTAGCTAGACTTGTTAGTTAAAGTTTAGTCTCTAGGAAGCTTGTTCTTCTTTATATGTTACCATTTGCTTCCACTATTCATACTCACTATCATTTGAACCTCTGGTCTTTAATAATCAATTTATTCTTGTTTGCACTATAACTATAAATATATCTAAGAGCTGTGCGTTTAACAGAGTTTTGTTCCAAGGGATAAGTAATAAACCGTGGTGCACTGTTCCTTTCAGGGAGCAGCAGGCCTGGTAATTCTGTGCCAGTTCAGTGGGTAAGGGGCTGGACACTAAAGGGAACATTGGGAGGACTTGGGCCTAATGCTCCCCTATAGAGAGAGTGAGGCCTGGAAGGCAGTGCTTGTGTTGCCTGAGGCTGGTGGTTTAAGGGAACTGACGCACAGACCACACTTTCTTAACACTTAGGGCAGATGGTGACAAGGTGTCTCACAATCCTGGGGCGTGTCATGGTATAAAAGATGTTTCCTTTCTTATCCATAGATCAATTTTAGGGCATGTGAACCTAATTTAATATGCACTATTATATGCATTTTTACAGAAGCTACGGCAGTGTCATCCAGAAGAATGAGTTCAGTGTTTGTCCTGAGTTCTAATCCCAGCTCTACCCCGACTCACTCTGTGACCTTGGCAAATCACTTCACCTTTCTTGCCTTTAGTTTCCCCATCTGTAAAATGGGGATAACGTCACTTACCTCACAGAAGATGAATTAAGGTCTGTGCAATGCTTTGAGCATACAAAGTTCTCTAAAACTGCTAAATATTATTATTTATCCCTCTGCAAAATGGATGTAAAAGGCTAAGGAGTCACAGTAGCAGCATTTCATTGTGACTACTTTGCACGGGGATCAATGAAGGCAGTGGAGAATTAGTCCCAGTATTTGCTTTTGGGGGACAGGACAGCTCAATCTTAGATGGGCCTGAGCCACAAAGTCCAGATCCAAACTGCTCCACAGGTTTGAGAGGGTGCTGAGCCAGTGTTTCAGTTTGGGGCCAATTTGGATTGAGAGAATAATTGTATGGATGATGACAGATCCATTTGTTGTGTAAATTTCTACATTGTGACTATAGAGTACTTGGGGAGTAACATTAAATTCAAAGTTAATTTAAAGAAAAACAAAAAGAAAATGCAACTTTTCACTTATCTCATGGAAAAATATTTAAAAATAACACTGGCTTAAATAACTCTTTTTAGAATACTCACACTGAGATATTTTCTGTCTCCATTCCCAGAAAGGCTGTCTGAACTTTCCACCTTTGGAATTATTTTTAAGATGCCATAAGCAAAAGCAGATCCTTGGGATTTTCTCCCCAAATAGCATTGGCCCAGACAGGTCAATTTTATCAAAAATAGCTACAAGAAACCATTCAGAAACATAATGTCCACCCAATGGAAAGAGGGCTAGGGAATAAGTTACAAGCTTTAACTCTATTTTCCATCTGTCTCTTATCACTAGTCCCAGTTTTCACTGCAGAGTTTCTCTTTGATTTTTTTAATAGAAAGTTGAGAATGTGCATCGCTCCATCTCAGCAATAATACAAGAGACTCGATTCTAGAGCGGTGGGCCTGCTCCATTGAAATCAATGGCAAAACTCCTACAGACTCCAATAGGAGCAGGATAGTGCTCTGTATTTGCTTAGGCCAGGAGGAATACATTTACTTTCAAAATATTTGTCTACTGTATCTACATATTTATGATGACATCGGGGCACATGTTTTATACACTACTGTGTTCTTCATTTATTATTTCACATCACTGAGTCACAGAAAAAGTCTCATTATTATGAAGTTACTCTTTCTTTCTTCATCATACTTACTGAGGGGACTTGTTTGCAGCAAGGAACATTGATGTCTCTGTCAGCTGGGGGAAGCCACTGGGTGACAGTGTACGAACAGGTTTTCCCCAGTGTACAATTTGTACAGGCTGTAATCATAACCTTGCAACAACAACACATGTCCTTGTGACCATGAAGATTGATTCCTGTTATTCCGTCTAAATAGGGCTCCCTGATGCAGAGCATCTCCATTGCCTACTTGTTCAGAATGCAGCAGCACATTTGTCCACTGGTTTGAACACGTGATTCTATTCACACACCACGCATTCTCTCTGCTGGCCTCCTTTCAAGTAATGGATTGGCTTCACATTGCCACTGTTGGTTTATAAAGCTCTTAAGGGTGTAGTCTGTAGTCCCTGGCTATATTTGAGATTTCACCCTTGAGCCTTATCCTGATAAGCATCTGTCCTCATGCACCATCCATCTTTTAGTGACCCCCAGTGGAAAAGAGGAGACTAAGGGGGGATATGATAGAGGTATATAAAATCATGAGTGGTGTGGAGAAAGTGAATAAGGAAAAGTTATTTACTTGTTCCCATAACATAAGAACTAGGGGCCACCAAGTGAAATTAATGGGCAGCAGGTTTAAAACAAAAGGAAGTTCTTCTTCACACAGCGCACAGTCAATCTGTGGAATTCCTTGCCTGAGGAGGTTGTGAAGGCTAGGACTATAACAGGGTTTAAAACAGAACTAGATAAATTCATGGAGGTTAAGTCCATTAATGGCTATTAGCCAGGAAGGGTAAGGAATGGTGTCCCTAGCCTCTGTTTGTCAGAGGGCGGAGATGGATGGCAGGAGAGAGATCACTTGATCATTATCTGTTAGGTTCACTCCCTCTGGGGCACCTGGCATTGGCCACTGTTGGCAGACAGGATACTGGACTGGATGGACCTTTGGTCTGACTTAGTATAGCCATTCTTATGTTCATCATTGCAACTTAAATTTGACAGGTGACAGGGCCTTTTCTATGTTGGACCATAGGGTGTAGAAACTCTCTGTGCCAGATTCACTTCTTCCTTATTTTTGGTATAGAAAACACTATAGAAAACAGATGTTGACTTGGTCTTGGTCTC